CATTTTGAATCCAACGTAAGTACATACATGTTGGTTATAACTGTGGATTAAAAGTTGCCCCCTATTCGGCCCAGAGTACTACTACACTGATGCTTAAAAAAAAAAAAAAAAAAAGTCTTTAAATACCGAAATTAAAAAAGCAACATTACAAGGGAAAAAAAAGTAAGAGGTCAAAACCAAAAAAAGGTGCAATACTTAAAAGTCTTTGCTAAGTTATACCTGCCTAAGCAAAACCACATACACGGGAAATACACAACACAGAGAAACAAAAGGAAACGCTTGAAGTACACACTGGTTTAAGAACATTCGTTAAGTAAACGTTTCTGTCAGTGATGGCCTGGTGCTGTAACACGCCATGGCCTGGCACAGGTAACGCTCAGCAAGAAAGGCGCAGAGAGGGAGGAGCTGCGGATGCTTCAGGAGGCTGCTCGCAACTTACTTTTTTGTTTTCATCAAAAGAAAAAGAGAACCAATAGAAATATTGAATTCAGCATTACCTGACTTTGATGAACTAACTTCTCATACCTGATTACACAACAAAGGGGGAACACAGTTTCTCTGCTTTTGAGACATCCATCACGTTATTAAAAACTATCTCATCATCTGTTCCCGAAGTAACGCAAAGGCCCGCATAAAACCTAACAGATATTAGATGTGCCTACTGGCCACTTATTTTTAAAAAAAAAACAGAAATAAATAAACACACAGTTGCTCCAAGAGGTACCTCCCGCTCTCCTAATTTTTTGGACTTGGCAGTGCTCCACTCTACTGCTAGGTTAAAGAAAAGCTAGAGAAAACTCACACTCAGGCTAACTTGCAGATGTAAAGGAACTCCCTGCTTTCACCATTAAAAAGCACTCTGTTCACCTTCACGCAGCCCAATGGAGCTGCTCTAGTAGCGGTGGCTCCCCGCGCTCGTGTGTTCTTTAGTTAAAAAAAATAATAAAAATAAAAAGCAGATGGCCGGCCAGCCAGCCTGCAGACTGTCAGCAATGCAGCTTCTGAGAGGTCAGGGTCAGGGGTCAGGAAGGAGGAGGCAGAGGAGGACACAGGCATACGTACACACAGAGACAGAGAGAAGGATGCACGCGAATGCACATGAACACACGTGCACACACATACCAGAACGAGCATGCCTGGGCAGTTACATGTGCCAGAACACACTGGTATTTATCAACCAGCCAATCACAAATTTTTTCCTTTTTTTTTTTTTTTTTTTTTTAGGTTTTTTGTGTTTTTGTTTTTAAAGTGAGGCTCCGTCAAGTCTTCCCTCCCCCCACCCTAACAATTCTTTTGAATTCCCCTCCCTCCCAAACATGGTAGACCTAAGGACGGAAACACACCCAGTGCAAACAAAGTTAAAAAGCTATTTTTTTCAGTATATATGTTTCTTAGCAACAACTTCCATATAACATGAAAAAAGTGAAAAACTAGAAACTAATTTTTTTAATTTTTTTGTGTTTAAATTTAAATGGTATGTGTACTTGCTTCACATTGTCTTTCTAGGTTGGCGTTCATGATTCAAGTATTTCAAGAGTGATATGTTCTCTTTTTGGATTCATATTCCAAACGAAAAAACTGAAGTTATAAGGGAGGCAACTATGTGCTCAGACAGTCTGTCAATGACCCACCTTTTTTTCTCTCTCCGTTTTCTTTTTTCCTTTTAAAAATGTATTTATTGCAAGTTGAAAAAAAAAACGAAAAGGTCAAGTTAGTGCTGCTGCTGTTCCAAAAAAGGTCACGAGGTCAGAGTTGAAAGTTCTAAGTTCAGATTGAATCCGACCCTCCTCCCAGAAGGTCACCAGGTAGTAAAGGAGCAGGGCTGCCCATCCTATGGGGATCTTCCACAGTTGGGACTCCCCACAAGCTAGAAGAATAGTTTGGGGGCCCCCACAACGAAGCGCCAGCAAGATCGGCCCCGCTGCTGCCGCCAGCACTGCTGCTCCATTGCCCGAGCCCCGTGGACCCACCGAAAAGATTCAGAGCAGGTCCGACGGGGTCTGACTGGGTCTGGCCGGTCTCCAGCGACTGCCAACCTGCTGCAGGTGCACTCGGGGTTGCTGCAGGTGTAGGGGGCTGAGCTTGTGCCAGAAAACGGCTAACTTCATCATCGGTGGCAAACTCAGCCAGGATGGTAGTGTTTCCCAACACACACCTGGAAGAAAGGGGAGGGAAGAGCTATGGATTTAAGGAAAATTCTAAAGCACACGCGGGGACTGAGTATTCCTAGTTGGAAGTGTGGTCCGCTGACTAGCAGCTTCCACATCCCCTGGATGCTTTTCAGAATGCAGAATCACAGGACCGGAACCGGAATTTCAGCCAGGACACTGCGTGATTGAGAGGTTCTGATTTAAAGCGATAAAGTAAACCTCGAGCTATCCAAAGACTACCAGAGGATGCTACAGATCGACATCCCTTGGTAAGTGGAATTTATATGTTGAGAAAAATGTCACCTCTTTTTTTCCCCCATGGGAGGTAAAAGCACATGTGTCAAGCATCAAAGTGGCCCAGCTTCAGACACCTGGAAGTGCTGGGCCAGGCTAGCTGCCTGAGCCCCACCATCGCTTGCTTGTTCTGTATGTAGCGTTCTGTTGTGGCGTTTGCAATCACAAGAAGTCAGCTCTTTCCTGTCTACCAGTTTAGGAGTGGCAGGGAGGGGGATGGTCAAAGTCTGATCCATTCTCACCTACTTCAGAAAAAAACCCTGCTACCCACCGAGACTACAGTATTTCCTCATCACCCACAAAGAAGCCAAAGCAAGCAGTTAGATACTACTATGAAAAGTGACAGCATTTACAGTTTCACATTTTCATAAATATTGGCTTTGTTTTATGATACTTAAAATTTACTGACTACTCCACAAATTCTTTACTTGAGGAATTCTGAATACGGGGCTATGATATACACAGTACAATCCATGCTTAGGTAAGTAAAAAAAGATCAGCCACCTTAGTACCCAATAATTACTTATGCAGTGATGCTGTTTTTGTGCATGTTCTCGTGCATCTTTTTGTCTAATTAAGCAGGTGCTAGAGTACTCACGTGTGCATCTTCACGCGTTTGTCTCAGTGAGCATAGGATGGGTACTCACATGTGCAGTGCAGTTTGGGCCTTGGCCGCCTCCTGTTTGGTGCTGTATCGGATCAGGGCAGTGCCCTGGGTTAGGTTCAGATGGAATGTCAGCAGTGGGCCATGCTGCATGCAGATGGTTCTCAAGGTTGACCCATCAATCTAAGGAGTAACAACATTCGTGAGATAAAAACTGGAGGTGGGATGTGAAAGGAAGTCAAGTGACCTTTCTCATATAAGAATGAGAAGGGCTTTTGGGTCTATGGCCATGCCACCCTGAATGTGCCTGATCTTGTCTGATCTCGGAAGCTAAGCAGGGTTGGGCCTGGTTAGTACTTAGATGAGAGACCATCTAGGAATACCAGGTGCTGTAGGCATTTAAGAAAAAAAAGAGAGAAGGGCTTTTGGTTTGTAAATAATAGTATAAGCACTAAATTAATCTGGAAGAATGAATGAAGAATTCAAAGCAGGGAATACACTGAATAGAGGTCTTAAAGGGAAACTTTAATATATTTAAAGCACTGGGTTGAGATCTAACATGCCCGCTATGCAAATAAAAACGTTTGCATAAATGCAGCTCAAAACAAAAGCGTGTGATTGAACCTGTGGTCCATATTCATTAAGAGGTAAACAAGTGAACGTGCACTGATTTGTAGAGGTTTAAAAAGCAGAAATAAAATGGCACCCAAATTAAGAGTTTAAGAAAACATGCAAAGTTTTCAGCATGACTGATTTAGAATGCTGACTGCTGACCCAGCTCACAGACTATTCTGAGGTCCTCTTACTCCTACTTTGGCCATCTCAAGGTGAGACCAATTCTACCTACTTCTCTATCCTCTGCTGCCCACAGCTAACGGGACCTCTGGTTGTAGTTGCTCACCTTAGACTCTCGCCACTAAGCTGTCCGGTGATTAGGGATAACTGCCCTCACCCCTAACTCAGATGAACAAATCTATTTACACACTCTGATAAATTTATTTGTATCAAGATCTTAACTAGGTTTATTTAAGCTGCCAAGGTCAACATTTCAGTTCATTTCTCTGGAAGGGAAAGACATTACTGTTGGAAGAGCCTTAAAAAGTTGCACTACTGGCGGCAGCAGTGGAAACATTCTGTGGTTTTACCATGGAAACCCTGTGGGATGAAAACTGGCAGTTTCATCGTAGTTCTTTATAGAAAATGATTGGAGAAACAGCTCTCAACATTGTTTCATAGGTGACAACTGACTATAGAAGCATGTAAGTGTATGTCACTAGTGACTTTTCAGGACAGATGTCCTCTAAACCAATTTTAGGTGATTAAAAAGTAAATTTATCCAGGTATCAAATATTTGACCTTTTAACCTTCTTTTAAGCTACAATTGCGATTAGTTTGCTATTAGGTAGTTTTGATTTTTAAAATTAATCAATTCTAATACAAACACAGCCAATCCTTATAGTCATTACATATATATCTATATATACATATATATACACACAGATATACTGTTTTTCATATTATAAAACATAAGTCAACAGCTGGTTAGCTTGCCTAGGCCCCTTTCAAGTGTACCCCTTCTCACATCCTAACCATATTATACCCACCACACTGTGCGACTACTCAGAAATAACAAGGCAGGATATAGTTTTGAGGATGGTTATATAAAATCCTCATATTATTAGCTAAATAAATAACCTGAGGCTTTTAGCTGAGTTATTAGACACAGAGATTAAGAACTGATCCAGACTCTTCCTCACATTAACTATGTTTAGGAAACTGCCTTTCTCAAAACGTACCTGGAAAAACGAGCCATGGATATGCTCCCCACAAATGGGTTCACTGGGCAAATAAATTTAGGAGAAGCTGTATTTCCCCAGAGGATCATAATAGATGTTAGGATATTAAAGGATCTAAGAAGTCTCATAGTGAAGAAACCTGCTTAATTTTGTTTAATCAAGTATATATTCCAAACATATTAGGCCAGAGTCCTATTACTATCCCATGGGAAGCATTCTGGCAAGTGCTAGCTTAATAAAGTATACACGAATCTATTTATGAATGAAATGCTAGACAATTCATTCTGTGTGTCAAAGGCAGGGAGGTATAATCGACCCCTTTAACAAGGTGTTGTAAAGGTTGTGTTGTCAAGTCCAAATGAAGGTCATGGGCTCAGTTTCAGTGGGCTCATTCAACCTCATCTGAGTGTTCAACATAATACTGCTGCTGATATGTCCGTTGTCAAGCAAATAAGGTGGAAAGGAGGGTTGCGTGGTGCAAATAAAGTCCCATCACTGTGGAAACCACTCAGAGGGCATGTGCTGATGACTGCGAACTAGCAATGCCATCCACACAGAAGAAGGGAACAGACGGAAAACTAAAAGTGCCCAGGGAGCATCTAAGCTATAAGATCCACACGTTCCTCCTACTGCAGAAATGAATGGTCAATTATTTATTAAGTAGGAAAACAGTTAATACTGAGCCTCAAGTCTTATTGAATAACTAACACAAAAACAGGTCACTTTTTTTGTGTGCAGTTAAAATACTTAAACATTAGTTTCTGACGTGGTTCTAGACTCTGACAGGCAGATCTACATAGCAAATTATCTCCACTAAATAGAATTCACCAGACAGTACCTCCCCACTCCCACTATTTTATAAACTACATGTGTTAACATCACCATGTTGGCAGGTGTGATCCCCCCATTCAGCAGCAGGCTTTAAGCCTTGTATGTGGAGAACCACCTCTGCAGGCTGGACCTCTCTGTAGTGACCAGGAAATAAATGAGTTTTCATATCTGCCCACCTCCCACATCTCTGAGTTTTTCTCCCTTAACACAATTAAGTCCTATCTAGAAATACCACAAGAAAGCATGAATACCTGTGGAGTGAGATTGTGAAGAACCAGCCAGTAACTAGGACGAACTGAACCACCATCACTCCAGGTAGAAGCTGTAAGCGAAAAATATTAGAAAGAATATTCAAAAAATTAAGAAAGCCATGAGCAAGAAGCATTTTCACATAACCACATGCTTCTTCTCTCCTTTCATAAATCATCATCTCTTTTGTACCTCACTCTGACTTGTATCTTGTCACTGAATAGCCAGTTCTCTTAAGACTTTGATCCCTGTGCTTTATTTGCAAGACAGCATTTTCCGCCTGGTGTACTCACTCATTCAGCCATTTGTCATTTTTACTCCATCAGTACCTGGGAGTTCTTGGGTACCCTTATCGTATACTGACTATAATTCTATTCAAGGGGTACTTTTTCCTATACCAGCCAACCATGACTTCTTCTCTTGTGAAGACTTCATCATGTCTTCACCATTTGTGTTAACATAAGACCTTGTGTTTGAACAATGATGCTCCTTTCGGCAGATCCTTCTCACCTGAGGCAAGCCGTGAGTCCTGTGTCCCCCACCCCCTGACTGATCGCGGTGCTGTGCTGCTCCAGGGAGATGATGGTTTGGGGTTGGTCAGACCAGGAGGTGGGCGGGGCAGCGGTGTAGTGTTCCTTGAGGAAATATGGTTTTTCCACATCTTGTTGGAGAGATGAGTGGGGTTGTGTCCTATGGGATCTGGGGACCATGTTGATTTGTAATCAGGGAACTTTACTATAAGAAAAAAAAATTAAGGAAGGAATAAAATAGGCCACGTCTGTCAACAAATACACATGAATTTTGTGTATATACACATGCACACATATTCTAAAAATAGTAAATGCACATTTTAAGAGCAGCAGTACAAAATATTGTTCTTTGAGCTTATTAAATATAAAATTTTCAATGATTATTACTCTGAATTGACAAATGGACTAAAGATTTAATGAGATAACTAATTCTCTAATACTTTCTTAGCTATACACAACCTGAAAGGAAAGATAAATTCAAGGTGAGAAACCTAGCAGAACTAAAGTATCCTATAAATACTTATTGACTTAATGGAAAGTACATTAGGAAATTACACTTTTCTTGATCCAGAACATTAGATACCAACATTCAAACAGATTTTTAAACTACAAACAGATTTTTATACTTAAAGCTTACTATGCTTTAAGGTACTAATTCAGTGCTGTGGGTAAAATAAACAGTTATTCTCAAGAACTTCAAGTTCAGATGGGAAGACAAAACAGATGAACAACAAACAAAATTGGTAATCCCAGGCAACATCATATATGTTCAGACTCAGAGAAGAAAGACAATGCTGGGCTGTCACAAAGGCTTTGCAAAGACAGGTCTTGAAGGATTTACATAAATGGATGGGCTGAGAGACACAGGAATATATAAGACAAGGTTCAATTTAAATTCTCTTCGTACCAAACATGTTTTCCCCCAATTCTGGCTGAACAACATTTCACAGGGGCAGAAAGGTAAAGGAAAGGTAGGCTGGGGACTGATTAATATACTATCAGGAGTTTTTGCACTAGATTCCGCATGTAGTATTTAAACTAAGTGTCTAAAACTTAGGTGACAGCAAGTGGAATGGAACGGAAGACATGGATATGACAAAGCGACAACTGCAGACTAAACCACCTGGAGACATCATCACTGCCTAGACCCAGGGAGTGAGGCGGAAATGAAGGAGTGAGAAAATATTGAGATTTTGTGGCTAAGTGATGCATGGGAGTACAATTAAGAAAAATACAGAGTTCAGTTAAAAAGGAAAGATAATTTTAGGGGGTGGGAAAATATTTGTTTAGTTTTAGACACTTCTGCGGTGATTTTTGGGTCATCTCTCGGGTGAACGTCCAACTGTAGACAAAAGATAAAACAGTTCAACTTGAGATATGGGCAGTTATAGGAATAAAAGAGTGAGGTGTAAGTGAGTTTTTACATGTAAAAGAAGAAGTCCTTTAAAAGTATAATGTAGGGTGGTGGTTAGAAAAATGGAATACTGAGTTGGCTTCTTCGCACACTCACTCAGACCTGAGGCAAATTCTATCAGATCTTAGAATCCCAGTTTCTTCATCTACAAAATGGAGATAACACCAGGATCTCCCTGTAGACTTTAGTGAAGGTAAGATAAGAATTCATGCCGAAGGCGTAGCACGCTGTCTGGTTTGCAGGAGCATTCAAGAAATGACAAGTTATTACTGCATTGTTGATATGACACAGAGGTAGAAAGAAAAAGAAGACAATTTGTAAGGCTATTAACCTGCAATGTATTAGTAGGTACCTAAGCATTTATTTTATTTGCTTTTGACGGGACAAAGAACAGAAACCTTAATGACTTTAATGGCTTAAGGTCCAACTTTTGCACAACCAAGGTCCCAATTACTAATGATTTGTCTACCAATCTGTAAGGCACTGTATTCAGTGACTTCAAAAGCTTTATTATATCCATTAAGTTTTCCATTCCCTATTGTCTTCCAACCACCCTCTCTCCCCCCAAAAAACCACCCCACACATACATAAAGAAATAAACAAATATTATTGGTAGAATGAATCATTAGGTCCTCTTTTTTTCCCTTGGCCATCTGACCTTTGCCTATAAGCAGAAGGATCTGTGGAGAAAAGCAAACTATAACTGGATGCCTTAGGGATAACGACCTGGATTTAACTGGTTCTTCTCAGAGCCCTTGACTCTCTTAGCACACTGGCTAAAAGAATAGCTCTGTGTCATCAGGATATGACTTCTGCCCTCACAACACTGACAGCTCTCTGCTATTATGTCACATCTGCCTTGTCCTCAAGCTGCGTTTGTCCCATCCTGCCTCTCTGAGACTGGCAGCTCCTCGAGCACATGGTCAACTACACTAAAATATGCTATTCAACTTCTGTAAAAGTATTCCTTAAGAAACAAATGCTAATTTCCTTTGTAAAAGGGCCCCTGACGGGAAAAGGCTGACTGAAGGGCAACAAACAGGTCACACTCATACCTGAAGTGCTATGAACGTTGGTAAAGGAGTTGTCAGAGGCACTGTAGGGCCAGGCACCAGGTGAAGGCAGCGAGGTGTTGAGGGAAGAATTAGACCCTTTGGGTGACAAATGAATAACCAGATGAGAATATTGCAGATAAATGTCAGTATAACAAGGGAAAGCTTGAAGTATTTTCTTTAACCTTCAATAGAAGGGAGAACAAAATATATCTAAAAAGCAATATATTCTTATGTTTTTGGGTTGAATTATTAGATGCTGGCAAGCACAAATGAAGCCACAGATTTGACAAATTTGAAAATGCTGGGTGTTAAATCAACACAAAAGATGTTTTACTCATTTACCTGTGGTGTTATCCCGCAGAAGTTGGTGGTCAGTATCTACAATGGGAGATGTGGCTGTACCCCCCAGCACACTTCCTGGGGTGACATAGGGATCAGATTCAGGGTCAATGTTTTGGATACCTTTCCATGGCACTCCTGGTTGGAATTCTGAGAGAAGAACAAATATTAAAGGTAAGAAGTTGTTCAAAAGACAGTAAAATAAAGTTTTTCTTGATTAAAGAAACAGATCTGTAAAAAGTCTAAATACTCAATCTATTTTATCTAAGATCTTCATCATAAAAATTTTAAAAAGTCAGCCTCAATGTTTACTCTGCTAGCAGCACCTTTGTGCAATCACAACATGTCAACTTTGTCTTTCTTTGTCTGTGAACTTGATGCCATAGCTCATCAGGGCCTGGCCTCAGAAACCTGCTCTTCCTGCTTCCAAGGAAATTCAGGCCTGAGGGCAGGGAGGCAGGATTAAGTAGTCTGGTCCTTGTGAGAACTGTCCAGGCAGCTAGGACAAGAACTGGAAGCAAATCTAGGTTGAGATCAGCGACTTCTCCCACTTATCTCACCAGAGATTGGCTCATATGCACAAACGAAATCACAATACAAATGACCACTACTACATGGAAGGTCCAGGGACAACCAGCAAGAATAATTTGGCTTGCTGTGAGGAAACTTGGAATATGTATATATTTACAATTTTTCATTGGTTAATTTAAATTGTATTTAAAGCTATGTGATAGTATTAATAAACTTTTATTTTCCTAATCATGATGAAGGAAAAAAGCAATATGTATTATATATGAACAATAGGCATTCTATGAGCCTACTTTAATTGAACGAAACTCTACATATTCATATCACAAACATAACCTGTATAGAGAGATTTAGAAGAACATATATCAAATTTTTTTTCTTTTTGCTTTACAAAATTTAAGTTTTTTTCTACAATGAAAACAGATTACTTGTATCGAAATAAAGAGAGAAAAGGAAAAAGTAAAGTCTCCTTGCACTAACAATTGCTAAGCTGGAACCAAACTGAAAACAAATACTTGCTTAATGAATAAACAAATCAAGTCAATGGACCTTTCAGAAGAACTTGTACGACAAGGCATCCTATGCACGGATGAATGCCAAGGGCCGGCTCCAACGTTACTTTCTTTTACCCCAGATTCTACCTCTCTGACCTCCTTTGTCTTATCTATGCTTGTGCAGTATCTACCATACAGCAACTTACCTGGGAGGTGAGCAGTGTCCACACCTTATCTTCCTGACTGAACTCTACAGAGAGCTTATCTAATGAAAGTTTTCTATCTTCCCAAGCACAGCGCACGCCTTGCTTTTAACGAGACAATAATTACTGAGTAGAATAATGAAAGTGAGTGTGTGGCAAAATATCAATCTCTTTCAGAACCTGAAATGAACAATTAAAAAACAAATGATATTCCAGAAAAACCACTGTCTGGACATTACCTGGAGGCCAACTGGCATTGCTGGATTTACTTCCGATTTTATTTGTTGGTGGAGATTTGGCAGGTAACCAGCTATCACCAGCAGGACCCGTATGGCCACCCAGTGTGTCACCCGGGATGATATCGAACTGGTTGTATGGTGACCCTCCACGGGTCTTACCAGGGGCCACTATAGCGCCTGAGAAGAGAGAGAGGAAATTAAGAAATTAATTCACACTTGGAAAGGACTCCTGTGAACAGAACTTGTCTATCTTTTATTCAGAGAAACTCAAATAAATATAGTATTCTGAAGCTTATGCAGTAAAAAGAGCACTAGAATGAGAGGTCATACCCAAGACCCACCATAATTAATAAGCAGGATGACCACAAACAATTCATTTTACCTTTCTGAGCCTTTCAGTTTCTCACTTATACACACAGCACTGTTCTCATTCTTCAACATTCCTTTCAGTTTTCAAATTCCATGGTCTTAGGAAGTTAACGAAACTTTCATAAACCACAAATCATACACCATCCCCACAGTTTCTATGCTAATGACTCAAGAGTGAGAAACAGGAAAAATACTAAACAATTTGCAGCACATAAGAGGGTTTTTAACTACATTTGTTCTGACACCACCCACCCAAGTTCTGCAGTGCTGATCAGGCCTAGTTTCGCTGGAAGAAGCAGTATAAACAGAGGGAAGTCCGCTGGAGAGAAAAGCATCTGCAATTGCTTTAAATTCCAAAGCAATGAGATGGAATTCCTGCCTAGGGTCTTTGCCAGCACAAGACCAGCAGTGAACTCTGCAGCTCTGAGAGCCATGGCCCCACACACGAAGAACAGCAAAGCCTTTGTAACTGCTTTCCTGAGAGCATGTCAGCAGTTTGTCAGTGCCCCTTTCATGAATTTTATAGGCCGGAAAAAAATTTTAGAGTTTAAAATTCCCTTAAACTAACAAAAACGAGCTTTACTTTAAATAAAATTTTTGGCCTCTGTGAGACACCACTCTACTTATTTCTTAAAAGAATTTTTCATGTTGTATCGTGTCACTTGATTTATTCTTAGAGCCATCTGTTTACGAACAGATAAAATTGTTTTCAAGGTAGTATATTAAAATATGTATAAATATTGATTAAAATAATGTTTGGTTTGGCCTAGAAGGAGTATCATCAAAACTACCTCCACGCTCCACTAAGAAGTCATTGATTTTCTGGAGCCTCCGACAAAAATTTGACGTAAGGGCACATTACAGGGAAGTACGAGAAAATGAAAAGCCCAATTCTCTTGGGGATTGCTAAGGAAATGGGGGAAACATTATCTGTAAACTCTGAAAAGGCAAGTGGCTATCTTACCTATGAGACAGCCTCTCCTGTGGCATTTTGTGTTTATTATCGTGCACCTCTCACTTCTTTGGGGAAGGAAGCAGTGCGCACAGATGCTGGGCTTGGAATATTCAGTCCAGACACAGATTTTATAGTTTCTATAAGTCATTCTTGATTTTGTGCCACAAAATCAAATGATGACACTTTGGCGTAGCAGGCAGAGCTCCAAGTGGCCGCGTCAGCAGCCTCTGGATAAGTACATTTAACAGTGGTTTAGGGGAGTGCCAGTCAAGATGGTGTAGTAGGAATATTGTATATGATACTAATATTGCATTTTAATAGAAAATTTTCAAAAAATTAAAGAAAACAAGTTGAGTAGCTTATAAGGGAGCCCTGGAAGGCTGCGGCAAGAGCAATTCAATAGCTATTTATACTTGGTTCTCACAGATGCAGTTGAGTCCAAGTGAATTACTGTCAAATGAAACGAACACTGAAACAAAGGCTGAAAAAAAAGGCTCTAAGACCTTTAATCTGTCTCACAGGGGAATGAAGAAGCTCTGACAGAGAATTATGAAGATGACAGACGCCCCACATTTACAACCAAAGCCCGGAATGCCCTCAATTGCTATCCTGCAAACCCCATAATTTATAAAGAACAGGAAAGCTTTGTGGAAAGTTAAAATCTCATGTATTGATCTATTAGTCATCTTTGGAGATTGAAAGGCTCAAATAACCAACATGATACATATTTGCTGTGATCTCTTACACCTCAAAAAATCTAATTCTGTTCTCTCAAGCCAATTCATACGGGTTTTACCCTAATGGGTGCTCAAGTTCACTGCTACTACCTCGATGCCATATGATTGCCAGTGAGAAATTTTGTTCCCCTTAATAGAACTAGTATTTTAAGTTTCTTATAATTTGAAATATATCAATCCCAATCTTCTTTTCATAGGCGATCATAAGATTTGGAAGGGAAAATCAAGAGACTTGCTAAGAAAAAGCTAAAGATCTGTGCTTTAAAATAAATTTA